ACGCAAATTTCCCAGCGGGGTGACTTAGGGGCGTGGCTGAGTCCTGGGGGATCCAGGCGCGGGGAGGGTCGGAGGGGCGGCGCCTCCAGTGGGGAGACAGCTGGAGCTCGCCAGGCTCTGATCCCGGGGCGGGGACGGCTGCCAGCAAGAAACGCCAGCGTCGACCCAAGCTGCACGGTTTCACGGACCCCCACCACCCAACTATTCCTGGGTGGGGGGATGCTATTATTATGCCCAGTTACAGATGAGGAAATGGAGTCTGGAGACCAGGAGTGACATGGCATGGCCACCAGAAAGGACGAAGTTCGAGGGAGATGGCACCTTGGATTCCAGTGCCTTGACCTGGGGGTCTGAGGTGGGGAGAACGCCCCAAGACCACAGCCTCTCTCCTACCAGCGCACCCCTACGGACCAAAAGGTCTGGGAAGCCGCTGCTTCCTCCGCTCCGCTCCGCCCCAGTGGGACCCCGGCTTCCGCAGCAGTTTCGGAGGTCCCGGCGCCCAGTGGCCCCCAGGCTGTGGCCGGAGCCCCAGTAGCTCTCTTGGAAAGTGGGGTTCCGATTTGCCCGCCCCTCGAGTGGCCAGGAGAGAAGACGACGCACCGGAATGCGCTCGGCGGGCGCGCGCCTTCCCAAGCGCGAGGGCCGCGCCCCGACCCCCCACCCGCCACCAAGGCGCTGTCCGCACCGCCCGCCGCCCCGCAGGCGTTCAGGCCCGAGGGCCGCCTCCCCAAGCCCCCAGGGGCCGCACCAGTGCCTTTCCTAAACCAACCCCTTGCCCACCCAGCGCGAGGACCCCACCCGAGGCTGAGTCCCCTGGGCGCCCTCTTTCCTCACATCAGGAACTGATAAATTATTGAAAAGACCACGGTCAGAGAACGGAAGGGATAGGTGTCTCAGAACCCCACGCCTGCCCTGGCTTCCAGAGATGGCCCAACTCCTCCACACAGCCACCTCTGCACCTGTCCCTCGGCCCCAACTTGGCTGGAGCCTCCTGCTCCAGCTGGGGCCGCACCGAGGACGGACCACACTTCTTCCAGAACACAAATTTATTTGGCATTCGGATGAAACGGTTCTCACAGCATCTTAAGAATTAGTGCCAACCCAACCAAAATAAACCCAAACTAAAAACCCTTAGTGAAAGGAAAACATAAACAGGCCTTGAGACAATGGCCTATAGACACCCACCCCCACCAAGCAGGTCAGCAGCTCTCACAGGAGCACAAGACTCTCAGCCAGGGCTGGTTGGGATTCGTCTGACCACGGAGCACAACCAGATCTCATGACGGTTGGCCTAGGCAGAAGGCCAACCCCACCTCTCCCCTTGCTCCCCCACCCCCACCCCTAGTGGAGCTCAGCCCCTGGGGCACTAGCTCCTGGGGACACTGCGGGCAGCAGGCAAGGCCTGAAACAGTGCTGCACGTGGGCTGAGCAACCCCGGAGCCCTGGCCTGTCCAGAAGCAGGCCCCCATCTGTGGCCCCCCCACAGCCTGATTCAGGCCACCCCCTTAGTGACTCCCACATGCCCAACTGGCCCAGCAGTCCTTCAGTTCCCAATCCCACACATCTAGTGCCAGCCGCCCTGCCCTGTACACACGGGTCTGAGGCCTGGGCCAGAGACGTGGGGGCTGGGAGGGACCCTGAGCTGTTGGGGGCAGGCCCCTCTGGGGCTCCAAGGGGGAGCCCACTCCAAAGCAGGAGTGCTCAGGACCCTCACCTAGCACCAACAAGGCCTGTGACAGCTGCTCAGTGCCCAGAACACAGTGGAGGCAGGACACGCTTTCTGCTTTGTCTTCAGCAGCCAGTGCAGCCACTCTCCAGTCCCAGTCCTTGGCAAGGGGAGTGCAGGCCTGCTCGGCACACAGCCTGCCCGCGTGGGGCTGCCTGCAGCACTCTGGCTCCTGTGGGCCGAGCCCTGGTCTGTGGGCAACTTGAGAAGGTCATGCTGCCCAGGGAAGAACAAAACGGTCCCCAACGGGAGACTGTGAGAACGTGTCCAGAAATAGACTGTGCCAGCAAGGCCTGTCACCACAGAGCACCCACTTCAAGTCATCCCCCGCTCACTGCTGGTCTGGGAGGGCACGAGGGGCCAGGGAAGGGCTCCCTGCTCTCAGCTGAGGGCCACGCCTTGGGTCCGCCCAGCATGCCATGGCTGGCCCTGGAAAGGGGGGCCCCAGGCCTGAGTCCCCATGTACTGCCACCACCTGCAAACACTTAGACACATACACACACATACACACACAGATACACATGCACACAACAAAGAAAAGATCCAGACATTCAATGTAGAAAAGATATGAATGTGCTAAAAATCGCACAAAACCCGCTTAACCTCCAAACCTCAGAAATGCTAAAACCCCATGTCAGGAGACAAGACCACTGCCCAGAAACAGGCAACAGTGACTCTCAGTCAAAGGCCCCCCAGGGTAGGACACCCAGCACCTCGCTGCTGGGGACAGGAAGGTGGCATGCGGCCACCGGGCACATGGCTCCAGTGGTGGCGGTGGTGGGCAGGAAGTGGACTTCTGGGAGATGGACAGCCCAGGATGTGAATTTCAGCCATCCCTCCCCCCAAAGACACAACCCTTATGGCACAAACAAGGTGGGGTGGGGCCAGGCCAGGTCCACGGGCAAATTTAGCAGGAGTGGGGGCTCCAGAGGGCAGCAGCCAGGAGCCAGCCCCGGTGGAGGATCCAGGGCCAGGACACTCATGCGTGACTAAAGGCCCCAGCCCGACCCCAGAGCTGCCCAGGGCGGGCCACGCATTGCGATGCTGGGGAGAAAATGGTTGGGGTGGGGCCCAGGCCTCCTGGTGTGCAACTGGGCTTCACGGAGCCCAGCTGGAAAGACAGTACAGAGTCCAGCCTCCTTCCCAGCAGCCCTCCTCAGGGCCTTGGGCACCTCGGGCACCAGGCCAGCCCCCAGCCCCCACAGCTGGATGTTCACAACTGGACCTGGGGGACCACCCCCAGAGCAGCCCTTGCGGCAACCTCCAAGGCCATCTGCCCCGACTGCACTGACAGTCCTCAGACAACCGCCACCTGGGCACGCCTTCTCTAGCGGCGGCTGGCTAGGCATGCGCGCGCGGCAGCCCAGGCTCCTCTGGAGGGCGAGTGGCAGCAAGCAAGTCCATCAGAGCTGGAGTGTCCAGCCCCACTAGAGCATACGGCGCCTCCTTTGTTCCCTGCTCCTGACACGTGTGGTCTCACGAACTCTGTCATCCTTCTGCCGTTTAAAAAGAAAAAGACAGTGACCCAAAGCTACGCGTGTGTTTGAAGCCCCCAAAGACCCTCAGGCAGGTGCTGGCGCCCTGGGGGCTGGTGCAGTGTCTATGTGCCTGCCGTCAGGGGTGCGGCTGTGCAGTTGGGTCCAGGCTCACTCAGGGGATCAGCGTTTTTCTCGACGGCAAACAGGTGCTCCCTGCCCATTTGGGCCGCGGGCCCGCCGTCCTCTACACCACGGTATTGAGGGAACTTCGGCTGTGGCGGCCGCCCCCTGGCAGCGCCTCTGTGGCCAGGGCACTGCCACTCTGGGCAGGGTCAGGGGGCACGAGGAGGACACTGCTGCTGTCGGCTGAGTCTTCCAGTTCGGCCAGAGAGGCCCTGGGGGTGGGCAGGGGCTGCTCCAGGCGCCGGGGCGCTGCACCCTCACCACCACCATCCCCTGTGGTCAGTTGGGCAGCCTCTGCTGGCTCAAAGGCGTCATCATCTGCGGGAGGAGATGGGGGTCAGCAGGGGGTGGTCCTGGCTCGGGGTATGCTCTTCCTGCTTGCCTGCTCCCACCAACACCGCTGGGCAGGGGAAAGCCTGCCCCACGGGGCTCCACCGTGCTCACCCCGCACCTTCGCCATGCAAGTGGGCTGCGTGGGGCTGGAGCAGGGGTACAGCCGTGAGCAAAGCATGATGTGTGCGTAGGGGACATGCTTTGACTGAGTCAGCAGATCAAAGGGAGGGGAGGGGGAAACCCTCTCAGACTCTGGGGGTCCAGGCAGGGCTCACATGCATTAGACATGGGCTGGAACACGGGGGAAAGTGCAGGAGATGGGCCAGAGCAGGCAGCCCGGCCAATTGTATGGGGGTCTGCAGAACACCCTGGTCTGAGGGAGACCTGGTGGCAGCCCCTCCTTATTCCTGCAGATGCTCTCTGAAAGCTCGGGGCTCAGGGACCCAGCACCACCGTTCCCCTGGCCAACATCCCCGGCCCAGCAGTCCTGCCATCCTGCCCCGGGGAGCATTTGCTCCCCTGCAGCCTGGTCTACGGAGGCATCTGGGACTCACTCTCCCAGAAGCATCCCTCGTCCTACCCACCCTGGCCCCCTGGACAGCATATTGTGACAATCAGTGTCCCAAGGACAGAGGTCAAATCCAAGGCTTTCCTGCCGGTACAGACCACGAAGGACGGGACTAACTGACGGGAAGAGACCAAGAACACAGCAGTGCCAGCCTTGCAAAGCCCAGCCTGCTGTGTTACGTGTGTATGTGTGTATAACACACAGCGAATTGGGATGGGACACGGGCGCGCACACCAGGGACAGGGACAGGTCAGGCCATGGGCAGGACACCTGCTATTCTTTCTGCTTCACCTGTGAGGAATGATTTTCCATAGTATCAGATGAACAACAGACTCAAGTGACCGCTGGACAGGAGGGCATGCCGAGGGGGTGTCTCCTCAGCTCACCACATGTGCACCATGTCCGACAGCCCAGCGTCCGGGCACCCCGCTCCCCACAGGGCCCTGCTGGGGGGGCCCCGAGGGGTGCTCACTAACAGTAGTTCCCGGGAGGGAGGCAGGGGCAGGGAGACCACTGCCAGTGGCCATCTGCGACCCTGGGAAGAGTGTGCCCACCCCAGACAGTGGCACCATCTTAAAGGGAAAACCAAAGCAAAAGCAGAAGGCTGGGCAGAAGTTGGGAGGCCACAGGGCCTTGTCCTGCATGCCAGCTGGTTGTGACCCATGGTTCCCTTGCCCTGGGGATCACCTGCAGGGTCGTAGAACATGCTGTCCGGGTTGATGGAGGCCTCGTAGGGTGGCGGCGGGTCATCGGGTTGGTCGATGTCCGGGTACTTGTATGCGGTGTAGGGAGGGGGAGGGTCATGGAAATGGAAAGTACCGCCTTCCCCATCGTCGGAGAGATGCAGCGGTGTGAGGCCTGTGCCGAACCCATCTGGGCCATAATCAAAGCCGGGGATCCTTCGGCCGAGGTTGAAGTGGTGCACTGGGCGGTCGGAGAGAGAAACAAGCAGGGAGCCATCACTCCTGGGCTGGACCTGCCACGTCCAGGCCCAGGGCACCCCGCACTCCGATAGTCACACGCCTGTGCCTGGCTGCTACCTGCCATCCACACTGGGAGCCCCACCCACCCACCCACAAGCTCCGGCCTGCAGAACCCGGGCTCTCAGCGCCATCTGGGCGTGACCCGCGACGGCCTCGGCATGCTGCCCACCCTGGGCGTGACCGCGACGGCCTCGGCATGCTGCCCACCCTGCAGCTCCATCTCCAGGAGGGCTCACCGTGATGTGGGGCCTTCAGACCTGACACATGTGCCCTCGGAGGCCCTGGGGCCCTAACACAGCAGCTGTGGTCCCCTGTCACCATGATCCTCAGCCCCACTCCCCACAGGGACTGGGAAGCCTCCTGGCTTGCTCACTGAGACAAGGAGGAATCTCAGAAACTCTACGCAGGCACAGGCTGTGGCAGAGAACATGGGCTGAGGAGGGTGGGCCATGCTCCCTAAGCTGCCACCAGCCACGGGTGTCCAACGTCTTTAGCGGGCAGGCTGCCCTGGCAGGTGCCCACACACCCTGGGGGGCCAGGGCTGGCGGCCCTCCCACCACACTCGTGTGGCTCAGCCTGGGAGTGGGAGCAGGAGCAGGCAGGGCACAGCTGCCGGGCAGCCCTGTCTTCCTCCTCCCTGCCCTGGGACCGCCGCCGAGCCACTGTGGGCGGCAGGGCTGGGCACTCACAGTTTGCTCCAATCAGGGACTCAATGCGCTCCCGGCGCCTCTGGCGCAGCCGATGGACCATGAAGAGCAGCAGCGACAGGATGAGGAAGGAGGACACGCAGCTCACAATCAGACGCATCCCGCTGGCCATGGAGTCCAGCAGGCTGCTGCCGTCTGTATGGATGGGGAGAGCTGCTCTCAGGAGGGGGGTTGGCCCCCCAGGCAGTGTACCTCCTGACCCCTCCTAATGCCAGGCCCTGCACACAGCCACTGGGATGCCGCAGCCCGGCCTCAGCCCCTCCTGAAGGCTCTGTCGCTACCCCATTCCCCACCCGCCCCCATTGCTGGGGTTGAGCCCCGGAAGCCACTCGGGGCTGGACGGGGTGCTGAGCAGGACTGTGCATCCGGCTGCAGCACCCAGGTCCTCCCTGATGCAGGGGAGCTGAGGTCAGCAGGGCTGTATCAGTGGCCTGAGTTCAGAGCTTGGCTTCAGTCCTATGGGGGGCCCAGAGCTCTCTGCCCCTCCCCTGCACCCAGCAGTGCTCACATGTGGAGGCTGGGGTCACCTGAACCCCACAGGTGATCAGGAGAGAATGCAGGTGCAGCTTCCCCTGGACCCCAGAGTCCCTGTTTACAGCCCCTGTCTACCCTCAGCCCTGTCAGTGTCTGTTCTGATTCTTTTTTTTTAACCTTTTAATTTTATATTGGAATACAGTTGATTAACAATGTTGTGTTAGTTTCAGGTGTACAGCACAGTGATTCAGTTAAACATACACACACTGGCTATTCTGATTCCTGACCTCCCCACGCCCACCCTCCTGCCCGCCCTCTCTGTGGGTGGGGAGCCTGGGGGCCACCGCCAGGGACTCAACTGTGCACTCACGGTCTCGTAGGATGGAGAGGGGTCACCCAGGGAGAAAGTGTTCACACGGGAACCCCGCCGCCAACTCACGCTCCTCTCCCCATCGGGTCATAGTGCCCGCCCGAGTAAGGCTGGGCAGGGCCTGCTCTGGGCCAGCTCCGTGGTAGAGGCCCAGGGTCCCGCAGCAGCTTCCTCGGGGGGCCAGAGTCCGGCCTGCACCCGGATGTCTTGGGGCAGAAGCAGTGGGGGCCTAGGGCCTGGGCAGCAGCTCCGTGGTGAGCACCAACCCCGCCCCACCAGCCAAGCGTCCCAAAGTCCTCTGCTTGTGGAGGCCGCAGCTGCAGGGCGCTCTGCTAAGGGCCCTGTGCCTCTGACCGCACGTGTCCAGGGGCCTCACCAGGGTGACTCTGCACCCCCGGGGACACTGGCAGCTTCTGGTGATACCGTTGGCTGTCCCCAACAGCAGGTGGGGGAGGCACTTCTGGCACCTGGTGGGCAGAGGCCGGGGATGCAACTCAACATCCCACTGGCCACTAGCTCAGGGTCTGACCTGCCCTGCCTGGCACACACCAGGCTTGTTGGGCGCTGCCAGGAGAGGTGCTGGTGCAAGGCAGAGAGGGAGAGAACAGTGTCGGGCATTCCCAGGGCTCTCGCCTGCATGAGGTTGCCACTTCCGCCAAGTCACAGAATCGGAACCAGGGGGATCTGGGAACACCTGCCTCCAAACGTAGCATGGAGGCCAGGGAGCTTCACTGGGCAGGAGTGACCTGAGCCATGGGAGCCTCTGTGTCCACTCCCACTTCTGCAACAGCCACATGGGCAAGTCCCCAACTGCCAGCCCTGAGGAGACACACTTCACAGCCAACACAGGTGCCAATTGGATGGCCAGGCTTACACTGGCCCTCCTCCCATGGGGCCAGAAAGCTTCCCCCAAAGCTGCATTTACTGCTGACAACACTGGAGTAAGTGTGTGAAAGGAAACATCCTCTCATTAATTAGCTGCTGTTTTGATGCCGGTCTCAAGGGAACATTTCATCCCTGTCCGGGAGGAGGTCTGTCAGCCCACGGGGATACTGTTAATTGGCAGCCAGCTCAGAGACCCCAGGGTCGGGAGGTACCTAAAGCAGCGGGTCTCTGCAATGACTAATTCCTGCTCAGTCCTAAAATAAGCCCAAGGACACGGCCAAGGTCCCCGACTGTCATCCACGGTACTCACCAGGAAGACACACCAGCAGTCAGACATGAAGAAAAGAGTACTGTCCCAGGGGGCAGAGGCCAGCCAGGGGCCCCCAGGGGCCCTCAACATGGCAGGTCCCTCCATGGGGTCTGGACAGTGCCAGGCGGGGCTGCCTGCTGTGGTCCAGGCTGCAGGTCCCTGGCCAGCCCTGGGCCCCGACAGAAGACACATAATGCTGCAGCAGACACTGCTGAATGGAAGGGGCCCCGGAGGCTGCTGGCCCGACCGTCTGATGACCGCTTAGGTCTGATGCTTAAGCCTGCCCAGGCCTCCCCAGGCCACCACGAGGAGCTTGGCGCCCCACTGGGCTCGGTGCCAATGACAGCATCCAGTTTCTGTGGAGGAAGCAGGTGGAGCCGAAGCTC